ACCATAATACTAAACTTACGCTTATTTTTCTTGATTCTAAATTGACCATTTCTGCTTCATGGCTCTTACAAAAGTCTTTAAAAAGATGCGTAAGCTGGTCCTTGATTACTGTGGCTATGGGGGAAAGATAATTAGAGATAATAAGAATATAAGGAGACAGAATATAATATTTAGTCCTGTGAACTGTATGTCTATGCAGAACACCGCAGTTTGTATCTGTCAGAACATTAGTACTCCAACAGTTGATTTAAACCTAATTAGCAGATGTGCTCTCATGATGAAAATCCTAATGACTGCATTCCCTGGACATATTATCAGCAATACAGTTCTTAATTTTACATGGACTTTTCAGTTGCTTGTAAACTGAGAAGGGGTCATTTTCATTTCATATATTTATAACTGTGTAAAAATGTACTTTTTAGATGCAGTGTCACAGTACAGTTATTCATTAGAAATTCTGTACTGAACATATATGCGATGGATATATGAACAGTGCATTTGATCTGTGTATGCTCAGTGAGAGTACCTGGGATTCCTGGCTGTATGTAGTACTTCTGAAAGGTCCAAAATGTAAACAAATGTGCAAATTCCTCAATCTACCCGGACCTAATTTCCAGGAAAAAAAACACTTTTGGAGAAATGTCACTGTTTTGTGGGTTTTGTCCAAAAGCTGTTAAGTGCATTACTGCATTCTTTAATAGCTAACCATGAATGAACTGCAGCAGAAAGTGTCTGACAGGACTGATTTGAATATATGAGGAAAAAAATTTAAGCTTAATATGGTCAATTGGTAAAGAGATGTCACTTGTGAGGTAATCACCTGCCATCTGTTCTGAAGCTTTATTTAAAAACAAACAAACAAACAAACAACAAACCCACAAACCAAAAACATTTCCTTAAACAAGCAACGAGATGGTCTTGGTTTTGCCTGTATTTATTGCATGCCAAAGTTTCTGGGTTTTAAAGAAGTGACACTTCATTTTGGTGTTTAGGATGCCCCGTGTGAGAGCATGAGATGGTACTTTCAATGGTAGTCATTCGAATGTGGAATAAACTTATGATGGAGATCAACCCAGTAAAAAACCTGGTTGCTTTTGAAGTACATTAGTGTTTTTTCTTGAAAAATTGAACTAAAAACATGATCATGTAACAGTAGATTACATTAACAATACAAAATATGGCTTTATCTTTCAAATGGGAGAACCTTGCCCTGATTCCCAAATCATAATTTAACTCTGAACCTGCTTTAGTAACAAGAATGAACTTTCATTGTTTTGGAGAAGTAGCTCTCTCTGTATTGTATCTTTATTAAAGATGAAAGCTTGGAGTAGAAAAAAACATGGAATAGGTATTACACCTCCAGAGGAAGGTTGCAGACTATCTGAGGCCTGAAACAGAAAATATCATTCCGTGTGTAAAATCTCCACCATGTCAACAGATCGAATGAAACGTGAATAGTAGTACAAATAAGAAGGTCCAACTCAAAGTTTGTGGCACTCCTGGTTAAAATTATAGAAGCAGTAAGAATCAAGAACATATGATTTTGGAAAGCATTGTAATTTAATCTACATTACATCTTGAGAGAAGGGATGGTGCTGTGGTGAGTGGTAGGGTCGCCAAGGCATTAGGTCTTGAAGCAGCTAAGAATAAGAACTGCTAATAGTTTGGTGAGGGACAAGTAGGTTTATACATGATGTGGGTTAGTTCCTGTGATGAAAAACTAATGGGGTTGCCCAGAGAAGTTGTGGCTGCCCCATCCCTGGAGGTGTTCAAGGCCAGGCTGGATGGGGCTTGGAGCAACCTGGGGTGGTGGGAGGTGTCCCTGCCCATGGCAGGGGGGTTGGAACTCGATGATCTTCAAGGTCCCTTCCAACCCAAACCGTTCTATGATTCTGTATGTTGGACTCACCCACCTGATTGCTCTATGTGACTGGGAAGTATGAAGGTCCCTTTTACAAGATGATCGTGGAATACTGTGGTCATGGAGGGGAGAGGAATAATGGCAGCCATTTGAAAGTGAATACCAATTCTAAGCTATTGGGGAGAGGGCATGTGTGATTTCTGAATAAAAACTGAGGAAATAATTACCTGACAGCATTATTGCATATGCACATAATACTGGCATGGATAAGACTGTTGGCAGGGTATTATAACCAGTTCTGATATCAGTGCGGAAGAATATGTTTGACAAATAATGATGTATTTAAGAAAGAATTAGAACAAATATTTGTAATCTCCCTGGAAGGGGAAGGCTTGAATTCAGTCCTTGGCTAAAACCAAACATTAGGGATGGCCTTGACCACAATCTAAAACTACTTATATAAGAAAGGTCTGTTAAGAAAGATGTCTTATCTATCAGGCAATTTCATATTTGGTTTGACAGCTGAAAGCTGAAGCTTTGGCAAAGTGAGGTAAGAGATCAGGTGCAAATTTTGTATTGTAAGATACTTCATTAACTTCTGGTTAATTTACTTGGGCATTTAATTTATTTTGTGTTTTTTGTTGTTTAGATTTAGTGATTGTAAAGTTTCTTTTTGACTTAACCTATGAAAACTACCCATAGCAAACACAATTTCTGTAACTGTTTTTTGTTTTGCAGTTCATTTTGTATGCTGTGTCATCTTTCCGTAAGCCACATACTTGTATTAACAAAGCATTACTGCATTGCAGTGACAAACTAGATATACTGCTACCTTGTTAATCGTTGGGGTTTGGGTATTTGAACATTGGTTGAATACAGTTTGTTAGAATATTGGCTGAATGTTTTTATCAGAGTACTCAGCATTGAAATTAAGTGCTGACATTCTAAATGCCATATGTAGATCTGTGTCAGACTGTATGAATAATGCAAGTCAGGCTTTCATAGCTGCTGAATTTTCCGCAACCTGAGGAAATCAACAGCGTGTTGATGTCTAATCAATCAATTCATTTATAGGGTTTTCATCATAAGCCTCAGGTTGGAATTAAGATTTTTTTTTTTTTT